TGCATCCAGCTTCCCCATGGGGAGGGTCTGGGGGCACTGGAGCAGATCCGGCTCACACTTGCATCCAGCATCGCATGGGGAGGGTCTGGGGTCCTCGGCCAGCAGGAGCAGCCCCCCAACCCCCCATGCCCCCGTTCGCCATCCCTGCTCACCGACACCATCCTCCCCTCGGAGGGCATGAAGGCGGGCCGGTTGCTGAGGCGCAGCTTGGTCTGCAGCGTGTTGAAGTTGATCTCCAGCTGGCACTTCTCCTGCACCTTGGGGGGTTTGTGGACACGCCGGTAATCGCGGAAGTCTTCCAGCTTCTGCTGCATCTCCTGGATGGTTTTCTGGGGGCTGCGGTCCTCCAGCCAAGGGATGGTGCGCCGGATCCACTCCAGGAGCTGCGGGGCGCAGGGTTTGGGGTCGGGGGGCGTCACGGCGGGGAGGCGCTGGGTTTAAGGAGGAAGGGGGGGGGGGGGGCGCCCCCAAGCTTACGTCGGAGGCGAGCTTCTCGTAGTCCTCCATCAGGTGCTCGTTCTCCTGGTTGACCGCCAGCACTTTGCAGATGCGGTTCGCCGCCGTCTCCGCCTGGAGGAGAGGAGCAGGGGGGCCATGGGGACGCGTGGACGCGGCGCCCACCCGCTCGCCCCCCTCCCCGGCGCCCTCCCGGGAGGCTGCCAGCAGGTTCAGCCCTGCGCGTGGCTTCCAGGAGGGGGGTTTTGAAGCGGCCGAGAGCTCAGAGCTTCCCCACGGCCCCGGCTGAGCTCCGCGCGGGGCTCCGGCTCCATCCGTTGGGACGAAGCACCCGGAGCCGTGCCGGCAGCGTTGGGGACGCGGCGTGGAGCCCCCCAGCGGTGCGGAGCCCCGCAGCAGCGTGGCAACTGCAGGCACGGCCTCGCCGCCTCGGATCCCCGCCCAGGCAGGTCGTTACCCATCTCTGAGCACATCCTCATCTTCCTCTGCTCTCCCGTGAAGGCGGCTCTTGGCTGCGCGGGGTTGGGGGGGGGGGGGGGGTGAGGAATGGGCAGGAAGGAAAGGCTGGGGGCCGAGCGCCGGGAGGAGCTGAGAGCCAGAAAGAGGGGAGAGGGTCTACAGGAGGATGGGGAGAGGAGAAAAGGAGCTCGGGAGTGAATAAATAGGATAGAAGTGAAGGGTGGCACCCGGGGGAGCTGAGGGAGAGGCGCAGGGCTGCATTGAGGAGCGGTGGCACGGAGCTCCGGCACGGGGACGGAGCTGCGCTCCGAGGGTTGGGGGCGCTCCTGGAGCACAGCAGCACCCACCCGGAGCACCGGGGACCTCGGGAGGAGCTGGGGAGGGCTGCCCCCGTGCGTTATTCCTGCTGGGATGCTGAACAGCAGCCAGGGATGCTGCCCAACCCTGCGGCGGGCGCTGCTGCCCCTCAACTTCGGCCCTTGGTTTGCTCTGAGCCACGCAACGCCTTCCACCCTCTGTGCGCGCACTCAGCTCCTCTGATGCACCTCCACCCTCCTGCACTGAGCTCGACCCAGAGCTGCACAGACCTCCTGCCCACCGGGTGAGCCACCGGACACCTGAGAGGCTCATTTGTTTCCCGACGCCGCTAATTAATTAGCTCAGCGTGGTTAATGGCCGCTCCACCCGGGGCTCGGCCGTGCCTGGAGCTGCCCACAGCGGGTCTGGGTGGCACAAGGGTGTAAAACAGGGGAAGCGCGGAGGGAACCTCACTGCAAGGGTGGCAGAGCCCTGAGCAGGCGATGGGCTTCTCTCCAAGCCCAAACAGAGCTGGAAGGGCAGAGCTCCGGGCTGCGAGAACGCAGCAGCAGCCCTGCATTGTGCCAGCAACCCAGCTGGCCCCAGCTTGAGCCTCAACTTTCCATTACAGAAGGCTGAGAGCGGAGAGACGGCCGCTGGGGCCGGATGGTTGAGCGCACGGCTGCATCCCATCCCCAGCAGGGATTCGCTTTGCTCTCTGCTGACCCTACGGAGCTCCATCCGCCGCGTCCCCTGGCCCAGAAGCCGTGCAGCGTTAGCAGCCTCGCGCCCAAGCTGCCCCAGCCAAGCTCACCTTCTGAGCCCCAGAGAAAGCGTGGTAGAAGCAGGAAACGTATGTCATGATGGCTTTCTCATCGGGCCTGAGAGTGCCTACAATATCTGCGCAAAGAGAGAGGGAGGAGAGAGCGTGAAGGAGCAGCGTGGCGACCTGCGAGCCCTCGGCGCATGCAGCGGCACAGAGAAGCACTGGGGGCCCGGACCAGAGCCGGCCGGCGGGTTGCGTTGGCTGCTGCGCTGCCCCGGGTCGCTCGGCCTCGTGCAAAGGGCCGAGGCGGCGTTTCCTTACGGCTCCGCAGCGCCGTCCTGCCCTGCGCTGGGGCCTCGCCAACGCTTGGCATCGCCTTACAGATCACAATGGGAACGCGAGCGAGCCTGAAACCCGTGAGAACGAGCTGAGGTCTGGTTCCCAGTCAGCGAAAGGCAACGGCCAGCTGGAAGAGAAATGCGTGAGCGTGCGGCGCTGCGGCACGACGGAGGCGGCCCGCCAGGTACCTTCTGAGCCCCTGAAAAGGCGTGGTAGAAGCTGGACACGTAAGTCATGATGGCCTTCTCGTCGGGGCGAGCTGTGTTGACAATGTCTGCAAGTGAACAGGGAGGGTTAGCATGAGGGGGAAGCGCCCTGCCAGCCGGAGCCGCTCACCACGCCGGGACCCGGAGCTGCAGCGTGGATCCCGCAGACTTGAGGCAGGCTAAATAAAGGCTCCTGTATGGGCAGAAGGTGATCGCAGAGCCCCGACACACAGCAGCGCCGGCTGCCTGCACGTCCCCTGTGCCTGCGGGAGGGGATCTGCCAGCAGAGCTCCGGCGTTGGCTGAGCAGCTTACCCTCAGCGTCCAGCATCTTGGGGATGTCCAGGTACTTCTCTGCCACCTCAAAGGCGTTGTTCAGGTTGGTCACGGGGTCGTCCTGCACAGGGAGAGCCGTGCTGAAGGGGCACCCGAGAAGCGGCGCGCTGGAGCAGAGGGCACCGCGCTCCTCCGGCTCAGAGCTCAGCATTCAGAAGAGAAAAGCAGAGCAGGGGGCCTCGTGCTGCCCACCGTCCCATTTACCTTCCTGAGCTTGTCGTACTCGATCAGCTCCGGTCTGTGTCTGTGGATCAAGGCGTTGAAGGCCAGACCGTCCTTCCAGCTGCAAGACAGGGTTGCTCTCAGTCCCACCACACGCCACTCGCAGCTCCTTCCCCTCCCAGCCCTGCAGCCACGCAGCGGAGCCCCTCACCTGATGTGGAAGTTCTGCACGTTGACGTTCTTGTAGGGCGCCGTTTTCCTCTGGCACCACAGCAGCAGCCCCTCCTTGGCCGAGGTCTCTGCAAAGGGTTGCCATCAGCCCCTGCGCCGTGCCTTAAAGACAGGCGGGCGACCCGCAGGCCTTTACCTTCCACGGAGATGTCCTGGATGGCAAAGCGGAGGATGATGGTCCAGATCATGCCCAGCGTCATCTTGGCGTTGCCGTCGACGATTTCTGGAGCAGAAAGGGAAGAGCAGAGCTTCAGGGAAGAGCAGAGCTTCAGGGAAGAGCAGAGCTTCAGCCGCGTGCGGATGGAGTCAGAGAACAACGCTTCGTGGGGCGGCGCGGCGGCGACAGCAGGGAGCCCCCAGATGCTGCAGAGCCCAGCGGGGGCCACGGCCGTCCCATGGGGACCCAGGTGGGGTGGGGGTGGGAGCTCAGGGTCCCGGCACGCCGATGGGACACGGCTGCTCTCTTGCACAACACCCGCAGCGCCTGCGGCTGACGCAGGGGCTCAAGGAGGATCTGCTGCACCGCGCCCTCGCAGCACCGGTTGGGACACGCAGCGGTTTCAGGAACAGGGCCGCGCTCCCCACAACAGACATCAAAGCCACAAACCCATGCTCTCCAAACTGGCTGGGTGAGGTGAGCCGCTGCCAGAGGGGCCGTGCGGCACAAACGGCTGCTCGGAGCTCAGCTGTTGGCTTCGGAGCCATGGGGAACAAGAGGCGAGGGCTGCGTGGTGCTGAGCCCCGCTCTGCTCTGCTGGCACAGGACGGACGCAGCTGGGCAGAGCGTGACCCCCATCGAATGGCAGGAATGCTGCTGCCAAACCACGACACCTCCCCTGCTGCTACCAACGCTCGGCGAGGCTCAGAGGGAAGAGCAGGCAGATCGGGAGCCATGCAGAAGAGGAAAACTCCTTGCTTGGACCCAGCCCTCAACAGCAGCTCCTCCACGTCCCCACCTGATGAGCCCCACAGGACACCGAACCCCTTCAGACCATTTCCCTGCAGGAGATGGGCTTTGGGCTGAGCTCAGCACAGGGCAGCACTTCTGGACCTGCGTCCAGCTCTGGAGTGCAAGAAAGACACAGAGCTGTTGGAAAGGGTCCAGAGGAGGGCCACAAAGGTGGTCAGGAACTGCAGCACCTCCACTATGAGGACAGGCTGAGGGAGCTGGGCTCGTTCAGCATGGAGAAGAGAAGCTGGGGGGTGACCTCAGTGCAGCCTGCAGTGCCTAAAGGGAGCCTGCAGACAGGAGGGGAGTCAGCTCTGTGCAAGGGTTGGTAGCAGCAGGACGAGGGGAAATGGTTGGAAGTTGAGGGAGGGCAGATGGAGGTTGGATGTCTGTGCTGTGAGAGCAGTGAGGGGCTGAACAGCTGCCCTGAGAGGCTGTGATGCCCCGTCCATCCCTGGAGGTGTTGGAGGCCAGGTTGGATGGGGCCCTGGGCAGCCTGGGCTGCTGTGAAATGTGGAGGTTGGTGGCCCTGCGTGTGGCAGGGGGTTGGAGCTTCGTGACCCTTGAGGTCCCTTCCAGCCCTGACCGTTCTGTGATTCTCCTGGCACGTCCTGCAGCACCGTGGCTGTGCAACAGCATCCCTGGAACAGCCTCCCCTCACAGCCTTTACCCTCTGAGTGCCAACACAGCACCCGACGCCTGCGCAGCTCTGCCTGCAGCGTTCGCAGCTCTGTGCAGCACCTCCTGCCTGAGTACTGAGCAGAGCCCCTCTCCTTCTCCTCTCCACCTCAGCCTCCTCAGGGCTCTCATCCTTTCCCCACCAGGAGATGCTGCAGGGTGCTACGAGCCCAGCTGTGCCTTCCCCATCACAGGGCAGAGGGGAAAAGCACCTCCTTCACCCGCTGGCCACGCTGTGCGCAATGCACCCCAGGCCCCATCAGACTTCTTGGCCACCAGGCAGCGCCTGTGAGCGGCTTGTCCCCCCCCTGCAGCAGGCTTTGGGTGTCCTGGACTCACCCTCAGCTCCTATGGACACCAGCTTGACGCCTTTGCTGGCGATGAAATCGAGTGCTTTGTTCACGTTGTTGATTTTGTGCACCCTCATCTTCCCTCGCTCCGGTTTTGGCAATCGCTCCCCTGGAAGGAAGAAGCAGCAAGGATTACAGCTCTCGTTGAGGGTAAAAGCCACCAAACAGAGAGGAAAGGAGCCGTGGCACAGGACAGCGCTCTTTTTCAGCTGCCTGCGCCCGCTCGAGAAGCAAAACCCCAAGGAGCATCACCTGAGATCACCTCCAGGAGCAGCATCAGCTTCAGGCCGTCGCGGAAATCCTCGTCGATGTTCTCGATCTGCGTGCCGGCCTTCCGCAGGTGGGAGTTGCACCAGGCTGTGAAGGTCTGCAGGGGAGGACGCCCAGATTTAGCCCATAAGGCGGCACTGCCACGGCGCTGCACCGCAGGGACCTCGGCACCTTGGCACCGAGGAACGAACGCTGGCGCCCGGCGGCAAATATTTGCTCCCAGGAGCCGCTGAAGGTCGTGGCGCCGAGCTGAGAGCAGAGCGGACCCCGCGTGCTTCCCCCAGGCTCCATTCCCAGCCCTTCACCCCGCTCCCCGCTGTTTCTTTGCAGCCCGACCCCACGGCAGGAGCCGCTCCTTCCTGCTGCCCGCAGCACCGCCTTCACCCGGCGGCCTGCAGCCTGAGCTCACGGCTTCCTCTCAGGGTGTAAATGCTGAGTGCTGCGGGACGCGGCTGCTCCCCGGCGCAGCCCTCGCTCGAGAGAAATGCAATTAGAGGGCAAAGCTCACGGCGTGCCCGACTCCCACTGCCCAGCAGCCAGCAGGGGCTGAACGGCGCTTTGTTCGGCGCTGAGCTCACGGCCGGGGAATGCTGACAGCTCTTAACGAGCTGCGGGGCTGACGAGGACAGGGGGGAGCGAGGCAGCAGGGCTGGGAGCAGGTTTAGGGCTGTGTGGGATGGGGGGCACCGGCGCTGCTGGGGGTGGCGTGGAAGAGCAAGAGGGAGGGGGCTGCAAAGAGGCCGAAACGGCCCCAAAAAGCAGCGGGGCTGCGGCTCCCCACGCAGCAGGGGAGGCTTGGAGGGCTGAGGGACGAGAGGAGCGTTGGCACAGCAGTGCCGACCCCAACCAGGACGGCGGGGTCACCCGGAGCGGTGCTGCATCCCTGCAGAAGCCCCCCGTTGGTTTCGCAGGCCCCAAAGGAGCGCCGAGCATCCCCAGACGAGCTCCCCAAAGGCGGCTGAGGTCTGCCCTGAGTGCAGATCCCACCTCCTGGCAGCCCTTGGTGACCCTAAAGGCTGCAAGCGAGCCGAGGCTCCCGCCGTCCTTCTGATAACAATTCCTTCCAGATCCATCAGGACGTCTCTGGAACGGAGCGGAGCCGAGCACAGAGTCGCACGGAGGTCGGACGGCCGCTGCCCTCCCCGCTGAGCGCAGCACAATTAGCGCCCGGCCGCCTCGTTACGCAAGCGCCTCATTAAGCCGACGAGGAGCTGGCTGATAATCAGCTCAGGTTTCCCAGCTCCCAGATTGCGGGAGGCTCACGGGGGGACCCTGCCTGGCGTTTGCTCACGGGACTCCGCTGCGCTCCGCTCGTTAGCTAATTACGGATAAGGAGCGATGCTGATCCCAGGGTGGGATTTTCCTGGCATGGAAAGCAGCGCAGCCCCTCTCAGGAGGGCACCGAGCTGAGGTTCAGCGGTCAGCAGTGCTCCAAAGTGTCACCAAAGTGTCACCAAAGTGACAGCCCTCGCTGTAACAGGAAGGTTCAGCCAACAGCAGCAGCGCAGGGATCCCACCCAGCCAGGAGCATCTCCTCCTCCTCCTCCCCCCTGCACAAAGCCCAAGGGCACGGCCGTGGGGCAGAGGGCGCGGTGCTGACAGGCAGAGATGTGGGCAGGGATCTGGGGTTATAAAGGCTGGGCAGTCAGCTTTATGGAGGCTTGGGCTGGAAGCAGGTTTGCTATGGAGGTTTGGGCAGCGACGTGGCTGCAGAAAGACTTGGGTGCCAGCTGATAAAGGCCTGGGCAGGCAGCAGCTCCATGAAGGTTGGGTGCAGGATCCATGAGGGTTGGGTGCAGGATCCACAAGGGTTGGGTGCAGGATCCACAAAGGTTGGATGCAGGATCCATGAGGGTTGGGTGCAGGATCCCAGGGGGTCAGAGGCAGGATCCATGAGGGCTGACTGCAGGATCCATGAGGGTTGGCTGCAGGATCCATGAGGGTTGGATGCAGGATCCATGAGGGTTGGATGCGGGATCCATGAGGGTTGGACAAAGGCTCCATGAGGGTTGGATGCGGGATCCACGAGGGTTGATTGCAGGATCCCAGGGGGTCAGAGGCAGGATCCATGAGGGCTGACTGCAGGATCCACGAGGGCTGGATGCAGGGATCCAGTGACATCAAAGCTCCTCCCGGGAGGTGAGCGCACGGCTGAGCCGCGTCCCCTGGGCGTTCCCGTGCAGAGCAGAGCGGTGCTGCCCGTATAAGGGCAGGAGGCTGCAAACCCAGCAGCCCCACGGCTGCTCTCACAGCCCCACACCCATCGCGTGGCCCTGGGCTGCCTGCTGGGGAAGCAGCGCCAGGCAGGACGGCCCCGAACACAGCAGGGTGGAAAACGGGCGTCAGGAGTGGAATCCCGTCGTGCTGAAATAAGAACGGCCCCAAACGGGGACAAACCCCGAGGTTTTTCCGCTCTGTCTGGCAGGTGGGGCCCAGGATGCTGGGCGCAGGCCGTGCCGGGCGCTGCGTTCTCCATCAGCCCTCCAAGTTGCTGCCAGCCTGCAGGAGCTGCTCCCTGCAGAGCGCGGCCCCGTGCCCACCGGGGGGGTTAAAAATAGCTGCCCGAGAGCAGAAGGTAATTAAAAGCCCGTTAACGGCCTCGCCAGGAGCTCCTTTCCTCAAAAGAGCGAGGAGCTCTTCCAACTGCAATCAATCTCCCGATGCTGCTCGGCACGACGCCGGGCATCGGGGCTGCAGGAGCAGCAGAGCGCGGCGCTGCCGGACTGCAGAGCCTTGTTTGCTGGGTGCTGCAGCCAGCCTTGAACCGCAGGCAGGGAGGTGAGGAGCTCGGCACGGCCTGCCTTGGGATCTTTGGGCACCGAAGCACAGCTGAGCTTGGAGCTGCTTTGCAGCCCTGCGCCGAGCTGAGCTCCGAGCGAAGCCCGCGTGGGGACGGGGCACGGAACGGCCTGCCGAAGGAACAGCAATACGTTCCGAATCACCAAGTTCCTAAAAAAGGATATTCCACATCTGCTGCTGGAATTTCCTTCCCACGGAGGCGCTGCCGAAATGCTTTCCAGGCATTGTATCAAAGCCGCCTTTGTTGGGAGGAAGCGGCGGCCCCGCGGAGCACCTCGAGCTGCAGGGCGGCCCCCCATGGGCCTTCGGAGCTCGCGGGGTGGGGATGAATCCGTGCGGCTCCGTGGGCTCAGACGGCTGGCAGCTCCTCCGTTCAGAACCAGGCTGTTTCAGCACAGTCCGATTTCGGGTCCGACCGATGGCTTTTTCCAATCTGGGCTTTTTTGGGATGAGGAAGCGTGGGGTTGGGGGTGGCACAGGGCTGGGGGGGCTCCTCCCTTGGCAGCGTCACCTGCATTGTCCTCGGCCGGGCAGGAAGTTGGTTACGGCAGGAAACGCTTATCGGCCGCTCTGAGATGTCCTGGAGACCAAACAGCGGCAGAGCGTTCCTCCGCGCCGTCATTAATGACCATTAATTAACGAGCCACCTGACGGCCCGCGATCTGCTCGTGTTGGGGCACAAATGGGAGCGACGGCGGCTTCCCAAAGCGGAGCAGCGGATTCACCATCGCTCCATCGCAGGCCCAACGCGGCAGCGAATCCCAGCTCCGGGCTGCGGCCGCTCGTCTCCGTCCCGTTGTTTTCTGCCCTCCGTTTGGTGCTACTGGGAGGAGGACAAACTGGGAAGCGATGGGCCGAGATTCCCCTCATTCTTTGTCCTTATTAGGCCTGCAGTGCCAGGAGGAGGAGGAGGAAGAGGAGGAGGAGGAGGAGGGTCAGGAGAGGCGGGCAGCTCTGAGCTCACCTGGTGATGCTGTTAGGATATGGGATCCACTGAGCTCACCTGGCCATGCTGTATGGATGTGGGATCCACTGAGCTCACCTGGCCATGCTGTATGGATGTGGGATCCCACAGCTGCCCCCCGGGATCCCGGAGGGCCCCGAATTGATGCTGGCTGTTCTCCAGGCCAGAAACCCAACAGAAACCAGGCGGGTGATAAGAGGCTGAGTCAGGGCAGTGGCGCAGGGCGGACCCGCATTCCTGCCTGGCACACCTTGCACCAGGACGACGAGCTGCACCAAGCTGCTTCCCTGGCGCCGGGCCGTGCGGCACAACGTTTGTGCAGCCAAACGTGAGCTGCTGCTGGAGGCTGCCCCCCGTTTGGGGCACAAAAAACAAGGCAACCCCAGCAGGGAGGCGCTGGGATCGCTTCAGCTCCGTGCCCAGGGCTGAAAATGCACGGGACGGAGCAGCGATGCCGCGGGGATGGGCTGAGGGTGATGGTGTGGTGCAGAAAGCTCTGGGGAGACCTTTCTGCTGCCCCCCGGTCCTGATGGGAGCTGGTGAACAGGAGGACGACGGCCTGGGAGGCCCCTTCCTGCCCGACCGTCTGTTGGATGATCTTTAGGTTCCCCTCCAACCCCAGACGGTGCTTTCTGAAGCACAGCCTCCATCCCCGCTCAGTGCAGAGGCTCAAGGAGCAGCCACAGAACGGCCGGGTTGGGAGGAACCTCTGAGAGCGGAGAAGCGCGGAACGGTTGGGTTGGGAGGGAGCCCAAAGCCCCCCCAGCTCCATCCCCGCTGCAGGCTGGCTGCCCCCACCAGCTGAGGGTCCCAGGGCCCCACGCGTGACCTCAGCCACCTCCAGCCACCAGATTTCCCCAGCAAAGGCCCGAGACGCTTCCAGGAGCCGAGGGCTCACGGCGCTGCGCTCAGACACGGCGAGCTCTCAGGGCCGGATGTTTGGCTTTGGAGGGGAACCAAGAATCCAGGCTGCAGCCGCTGGTGGAGCACGCGATCCCAACTGCCCCCCAGGGCGTGGGGCAGAGCCCCATCGCAGCCGTGCTCCCTGCCCACCCCCAGCCCCTCTGCAGGACCCCCTATGGGCGCCTGTTTACCCATAGGGGGACGTGGGGCAGCCCCACGAGCAGCGCCAGCCTCCTGACTCCAAGCTCAGCTCATCCCTCTCCCAAGGCGCGCTCATTACCGCGCCTCGTTACTGCAGCTCATTAGCGAGCCTCGTTTACCAGCCCCGCTCGCCCAAGGACACCCAATTTGCGCCGCTCCTTTCCCAGTCCCAACATTCGGAAGCTGCCGGAAACACACAGAGTTATTTAGGGCCACATCCTGGCCCCGATCCTCGTCTGCTGCGTGTTTGGGAGCACAGAGGATGCAGCCTGAGTTCTTTAGCCGCATAGCTGGGATTCCAGCGTGGAACCCCGGGGATGGGACACATTCCAGCGGCGGGACGGCCGCGCGGCGCTGCCCCCGTCCCCGCTGAGCACGTGAAAAGCTGCCCGCTCTGCCTTCTTTATAAGGGAAAAGCCTCGGAGCTTCGCATCTCGGCCCAAACCGTGCGACGGGGGGGGGGGGGGGGGGGGAGGAGAGAACAGAAACCCACAAAAAAACAAACAAGTTGGGGCGGATGGCGCGGGGGGGGGGGAGGAGGGGGGGAAGGTCCGACCTCGCAGCCGCGATGCTGCGCTGCCTCTGGGCCGCGTGGGCAACAGAGCTGCGTCCAAACATCACACCTCACCGCTGCGGGATCGGCAGAGAGGAGCCCTGCGGACCCCTGGGCCCATCGCCCTGCAGACACAGCGACGTTTGCAGGGTGGCAGACCCCAAAGCTGCCCCACGGCCGGCCCTCGGACCCCAACGCGGGTCTGTCAGGCTTGCAAGGCGTCGCTCACGGCACCGAAAACAGCACGGAAAGGCTGCTCCAACCCCAGGCCTGCCTCCCCCACAGCCGCTGCCAGGCGTTGAGGGGAGGAGGAGGAGGAGGAGGAGGAGGAGGAGGAGGCCCGGCACACCCTGTGTGCCATTCCACAACGTCACCGCAGCAGCAGCGGGGCACGGAACGCAACATTCCTGAGCCTCCATAGGTGTCGTCCAGGTGCGGCAACACCCCGAATCACAGAACCGTAGGGGTTGGAAGGGATCTCCAGAGATCATCGAGTCCAACCCCCAACACCCAGGCGAGGGCTGCGGGGAGGCAGGCCGGCGGTCCCTGGGCAGGGTTTCACCCCATAGGGCACGGGAACATGGCGGTGCCGCCGAGCTCCCATGTCGGACGCACACACAGCCGGTGTCAGCTCCTCCTCCCCGCCGCCCGACGACTCCTCCACCTCCACGCAGCGCCTTTTGCTCCTGCTGTGCTCCCAGCTCCCTCCCCAGCCGCCCGTAATTAAGGTAATTAAACCAAATAGCAGATGGTCA